TGGGGGGGGAAAAAAAGAGGAACAAATGTAACCTGAACAATAAAGATTTAATTAAAAAAAAAAATAAGGCAGAGAGAAGCTTCCACTCTCCAAGGTGGTTGGGAAGGGTCCAGATTCTAATCACTTACTTGGTTATTTTAAATATTCTTAGAAGCCGGAGAGCTCGCAAGACACTGATTCCAAAAGATGTTCCAGGTCTGAAGATGGCCCAGACCACTTCAAAGATACTGCCCACCGTGACCTAAAGAAGCAAACCCAGCCACAGTACCAGGAGGAGGAAGAGAGGAGAGGAACATTCTGGTAGTCGGCAATCAACAGTACTCATTGGGCTGGGGTGAAATTAAAACTCTCCCCTCCCCACCCAGCCTGCCTCTAACAGGTCTATCTATTTCCAAAGGACGCTTCTTCCCTCTGCTCTCCACCCTCCTTGCTAACTTTAGTCCTGCAGACTGTGGGCTGGTTTACTGACTGCTGTTGTCCTTGGTGAAAACTACAAGTGATCAATTCTGCACAAAATTGACAGCCATAACTGTCTTACATTGTAACACTTTGAGCAGACAGACAAAAGAGTCGTCCTCAAAGCAAGGAACCAAACTTGAAGTAATACAGGTTGCATTCCAATATAAAAATCTCAGGGAGGGCCCACATTCTCTCATTGTTCTAGAATTTAGTGCTCACAAGAACGGCTTAGTCATGTGTAGAGTATCTGTCAGTCCCTCAGGCCCCACACAGCCTAATGCAGGGGTGGGCAAACTTTTTGACTCGAGGGGCACAATGGGTTCTTAAACTGGACCAGAGGGCCGGAACAAAAGCATGGATAGAGTGTTTGTGTGAACTAATATAAATTCAAAGTAAACATCATTACATAAAAGGGTACGGTCTTTTTTTTTTTTTTTAGTTTTATTCATTTCAAATGGGCCGGATCCGGCCCGCGGGCCGTAGTTTGCCCACGGCTGGCCTAATGTGATGGCGCTACTGCTACTGGGTGGCAGAGAATCTGACTGCTGTAGGAAGCAGCAATGTCAAATTAAAAACTGAACTTGTTTTTTGTTTTAATTATGCACCTAGTGATTGTCCACTCTATAGTCTCTACATCGCATGAGGAGAAATAACCGATAAATTCATCCTCACAGCAATTCTGAAAATATGTAGATAAAGAAACCAAGACTATAATGGTCTTTCACTGGCTGGGATGCCTGAAAACTGCCCGTACCCAGAAACATATGTTCCACGTTAAAATGCAGATTGGCAAGTGCTCAAAATCCTTAGCACGTAAATGAAAATTTGGCAGGAGAAAAAAAAGTAGGTTTGGCAGAAAGAGAAGTGGATCAGGAACCCAAAGTTTTGGGACCCAGCACTGCTGCTAACGGGCGATGTGAACTGGGGACACGTGTCCTCTGGGAATGGGCAGGCTAACTCCTGACACGCAATCTAGTGGACAGGGCTCCTGAAAGCCATGGAGGACCACAGTGTATGTGAAAGCACCTGAATCCTGTTAGGAACGTGCACAGTTATATATCCATATTATCTAGCAAGTGGACAGTGGACGACATTTCTAACGTGTGTGTGTGTGTGTGTGTGTGTGTGTGTGTGTGTGTGTGTACGCATCCATGTGCATGTCTGTATGAGGGTATATTTAGATAATTTTCCCAACTGCAACTGAACTAAAAAAAACTCCAAATATATAAGCTCCTCTTTTTTATTGAACTACCTTCTGGAATCAAGTTTTTTCTCTCCCCTCTCAGGCATTCCCCAGGATACTAAGTGATTTAAAACTCTAGCTTTGTCAAATTCACTGAGCTGTACACTTAAGGGTGCCCTCCATGGTGTGTGTTACACTGCCATGAAAACATTAAAAATAAAGCTTAAAACCAACCAACCAACCCAGTGTGGCAAGGATTCACTCACTCCTGCCCCCGTTAGCTAACCTTATCTGGTCCCCTGGTATAATTTCTGATTTCAGTGCTTCAAGCTGGGCAAGAGAGGAGCTGCTTGTCCCACCCGTGGCTTATCGACAGGAGGGCTCCTGAGCACTTACCCCAAAATCAAAGCAGTTGAAGGAAGAGTGAAAATAAAGGCGAGGCCCCATGCCGTACATCTTCAGGGACATCTCCAAGAGGAAGAGTCCCAGAAACAGAAATTCTGCATAGTCTGAAAGCATCAAAAGCAGGAGCATTTGTTCCCTAGATGGCAGGCTCCCACACCCCCGAACCCAAAAACTGCAGAGGTGCCCTCCACACGAGCAGGACCCACTCATGTGAGGAGGGTCATGACCAGGGCAGGTCAGTACCAGGCAACACCCAATGATGTCAGAATTCGCTCTCACCCAGCAGCAGCCCCAGGTGCTCCCCAGGTCGGCTTTGCTCTCCATCAACAGGTGGGTTTGCCACTGCCCTTTAAATGGTAGGTGGCTCCCCGGAAAGACGGGGCTTTACCATGGCTTCGATGTGAGAGCCAGAAGGGTCCCCCACATGCCCAGTCGTGGCAGCCTCCTGGAGCCCCACTCACACACAGTGGCAGCCTTACCCAGAGGTGACTAACCCTTACATCCCCTTTGTGGTCTATTCGGGGTACCCACTGCCCTAAGAGCTTCCTCCCTACACCACTGATCCTCTTTAAAATACTAAGTGAAGGCCTTACAGCACCCGAATTGCAATGCCATCTGTTGACTCCTCAGCAAAGATTTGTTTATCTGATTCAATAACGAATGACAGATTGGAATGGTCCCTTGGAGACAGCCCTGGCCTCCCTCACAACGTGAAGGGGGAGAACTCTGGGCGGACAGAAGCACTGCCAGGCCCGGCACGATCCTGGCTCTCTGACACTTGCACCTGGAGAGCCCGCAGTCACGGGTCACTCACAGAGGAAGTGGGTGAGCCACTGGGGCTGGTTGTGATGGACGATGGCCACGCAGGCGGTGTTGAGAGCCACCAGGCTCAGCACAATCCAGTAAAACACCTGGGATTTCACCATGTGGCGGACAGAGATGCGCAGAAGCCTTTCCTTGTGCCGGAAATAGGAGGCCCCGTCCACCTTTGCGCTTTTGATGCTGGCTCGGGCGAGGGGTGTGCCTGTGGGGGAGAAGCAGGGAGGGAGAATGAGGCTGCAAAAACGATCACCCTCTGTGGCGAGGGGGACAGTGTCGGTCCCCCAGCTGGGTGGCCACCATGCTGCAGGCCTGGGGATACCCGTAATAAGGAGTCTCCACAGTAGAGATCCCTGCTTTTCCTCTGGGCACGCTCAGTCCTAGAAAGGATTCCCTGGGTAGGAGGACACAAGGCATATATACCTGGTATCTTAAAGTTAATCATATCATGTTTATGTTTGGGCTTCTCTCTGGCCCTTCCTTTTCAATATACTTCGGGGGCTGGAATCATTCCGCTGCCTCTGTGATCTTTCTGCCACGGGCAGCCGAACACAGCAGTGAGCTCTGTACGCCTCTTCTGCTTTTAAGAATGAAGACCCCTCCCTTTTTCTTGAGGAAATATCTGCCATCTGCCAGCATTTCTAAGAGAACCTGGGACTGAACACGTCATGCTGTAGGGTTCTCAGTAGGAATTTGTTTAAATATCACATGGACGATGGGACGGCAGGAGGTGGGTGCTACTGCGGTTAAGAAGGTTCTCAAATGGGGGTTACTAGGAGCAACAGGCCCTCAGCTCCTTTGAACGTATCTGAGTGGGTTTTCATTATCCCGCAGGAGGGACCGGCCGATGGACACATGGGCTCACGTGAAGAATCTGGGCTGGATTTTTCTAAGCCCATGTTTCATGTGAACAGGGTCCCCATGTCCATTTTTTTCTAAGTCATTGTAGATTAGATTCCCACACCTTCTCTAATCACATTCCTGGGTTCTGGATTCTTTGGGTTCCCTTCCTCTTCGTGGTGCTTCTCAAAAGACAGGCTCTTTGTTTTGATGGGAGATTCAGAGAGGGGAAGACCTAGCTGGTCCCACTCACCCACGGAGGAGATATCCACACAGTGCTCGTCGCTGGAGTCTCGAGTCATGACCTCCGTGCGGCTGCGCTTGATGGTGGCCCTCCGAAGCACTGCGCCAGGACAGGGGAGGCAGGTGAGGACATGCACAACCGGGTCATTCTGCTCAAAACTGAGGATTGTGGGCCAGAGGCCTCTGGGACCCAGGCGACTGCCCTTAAACAGCTGAGCCAGGGTCACAGAAGTTGCAAACGTCTATAGAGACAAGACTCCCGTGCTCAGAGGCACCTATCTGCACTGGCTCCTCATCAGCGAGGCACTTCCTGGGAATGAAAGTGGTCCCAAGAGGATCTCCACTGATGTTCAAAGAAGATCCCTTATATGCCATGGATTGCATGATGGGCTTTTTATTGCACATTATCAACGACACACCCCGGAACCAAAGTAACTCTTGCATTTGGCTTTCATTGCGTTAAAAAGCATTTAAAAATTTGTGACTCAATTCCCTTCCTTTCAAAGCATGAAGGATTTTATGACAGAGAGACTTCGGTTTCAAATCCCAGAGCGCCCTTCTTTTATTTCTCTCTCCTCTTTGGATCAAGAGAGACCACCACGCATAAGAGGGGGCGATGCCAGTGGAGTGAGGAGTTGGTTGGAGCCTTACCTTCCAAGGCTGACGTGCCAGCATTTTTATTTTCTTCAGCAAGCATGACTTCCTCTACATGGAAACAAATGGTTTAGTCAATTATCTGTAAATGGCAAATTATCTTGCAAAATGAAAATCCCTCAGGGAGGGCTTGGGCTCCAGCGCAACAGAGACGGAACAAAGGGTTCACAGTCCTTCACAGGCATCAGCAAGAGAAAGCCGCCAAGGTCAGGGAGAGAGCTCCCCAGACACATCAGAACAGAGGGGCATTCTGGGTGCGCGGGCGCTTGGGGAAGATGGTAAAATCCAGCTCTGTGTCTAACACACCCCTTCAGGAGGATGCTCATGAGGGGCAGAGCTGACCTTTTTAACTAAAACCCCCTTAAATTGAGAGGAATGAAAACTTCAGTTTCTGGTTTTTCTTCTGCCCAGGTTCTTGTCTTTCCTAACCCCTTAAGCCTTCTCCAGCAACGGGAGCTTCCTTAGTTTCTCTTGTCTGCAACTTCACATCTACCGGCTCATTCAGGAGGCGAGGCCACGCTTTGGGCGTTGGCCTGTCTACTTCGTGAGGAGCAGCACTCAGGGAGAGGAGCAGGGCTGGAGGGCTGGCTTCCTCCCAGCCTACCACCCACCACTCCATCCTGCCTTCCTTGGGCAGAGCTTGAGCTGACCATGCTTGGGCCCATCATGAACATGTCCTTGCGATATTGGATTTTGTTCACGATCTATTCCTGACACAGAACTCTTAAAACCCTTGGAATTTACTGTCTTCTGTACACTAATGAGATGACTCATTGTGTGGGAGGCCTAGTCACCAGAATGGGGGCTGGTAACTAGAAAAACCAACCCCAAGATTAGAGGGTTATAACTTACAGCCCTATCCCTCTCCCACCTCCTGGGAAGGGAGAGGGGCTAGAGATTATTGAATACCAATGGCTGATGCATTAGTCAGTCATGCCAATGGGATGGAACCTTCATAAAACCTAAACATCAGGGAGCTCCTGGGCTGGTGGCCACGCCAAGATCCTGAGAGGATGGCCTGTCTGGAGAGAGGACGGCAGCGCTGTGCACCCCCAACCTCTGCCCCTCACCTTGGTCTGTATGTATCTTCATTTTGGCTGTTCCTGAATTGTATTCTTTAGAATAAGCTGGTAGTAATTATCGTTTTTCCTGAGCTCCAGAAGTTGTTCTAGTGAATTATCAAACCCGGACCCCTCTGAATTTGTTGTCAGTGGGGCAGAAATGCAGGTCATTGGGGGCCGCTGCTTGTGGCTGGTCCCTAACCTGTGGAGTGTGCATGAACTCCAGGCAGTACTCAGTGTCAGAATGGAACTGAATTGTTGAGTATCCGACAGGTGTCGAAGAATGGCAGGACTGACTGGTGTTGGAACAACATATTTGGTTGTTGGTGTTTGGAAAAGCACCACACAGTCCCTTGGCCTCCCCCAGGGCAGCCCTGTACTCCCCATTGGCAAGATCCTATTTTCTATACTTGTTAGAATAAGCCTCACCAGCATCCCTCCAAACTTGCCAACAAAATAGGCCCTGTCTGGTGGAACTCGGAGCCCCCTATGTGGCCCCACCCTCACTTGGCCTACAGTAGACCAGTTTGGAGACCTAAGCAACCATTGCCTAGGATTCTGGCTGCTGGGGGAAAGCTTGCAGCAGGCCCTATTAAAAGATGGTTTATAATTTAAGCTCCTGTAACAAGTTCAAGGGCAAGCAGAAAAGGGTAAAGTCATTACCACAATTCCACCTGCATATAAAATTGAGAGCGTATAATGAATGTATTTCCCAGGGAGGGGGCATTTTGAAGCTCAGGAGGGTGGCCATTCTACCAGGTCCTAATGTTTAACTTTCTCTTTTGAGTACAGCCTCCGGTGAAATTCTAAGTTAGCATTTTGAGTGTTATTGGTGGAATGCTCCTTGATGCAGACAAAGAGGGTTTTAAAGTCATTGGACTGTACAGTTTGAGAGCACCCTTTTAAAATAGGTACTTGTTAGCCCTAGCTGGTTTGGCTCAGCGGATAGAGCATCGGCTTGAGGACTGAAGGGTCCCAGGTTCGATTCCGGTCAAGGGCACATGCCTAGGTTGCCAGCTCGATCCCCACTGGGGGCCATGCAGGAGGCAGCCGATCAATGATTCTCTCTCATCATTGATGTTTCT